ACCCTGCCCCTTTCTGATCTGGCCGAGCCACTGTCTCCGCGATTGTGATGGCAAACCTAATGATAGCCAGTTAGGAAGTGAACTGAAGTTTGCACTGTTGCTGGACACGAATATAAGAGCAAGTGGCTGTGTTAAGTGTTTGTGTAATGTGCCTAACAATGTATTCACCACAAAGCAAAGAGACAAGGACAACAGTTTGCCACCACAATGTAGTAGAAAACAGGCAGAACGTGAGTTTATCTTCTTTTACTACTCCTCTTCCTCCTTCTTCTTTGTATTCATCAGGAAGTTGGATGCCCTGTGGCACTACGCTGTCTCCCGCAGGTCAGTCTTGGTATTACAAGGGACATTTGGGAGCAGACTCACAATTGTCTGCCAAGATATGTGTCTGGTGTTTTATGTTAGTCCTCTTGTGTACAACATACATAAACGCAGTAAGCACACACTTGCCAATTGTGTGGAGCCTCTCACATTTGAGAAAAAAAAAATCTGATAAGTTGTTAAAAATTCACGATTGAATCTGTAACTCGCAGCCAAGTTAGCTAACCGCTAATGGTGTAATCTCGTGGATCAAAAGCAGAGTTCGCTATTTGGCTATCCAGTATGCATCATACAAAAATGATCACGTCGATGGGTAATTTTGCATCAGCCAAGTCAAAATGAAACCGTTATGAGCAATCGCGTATCGGCCCACGCAACAACACTTTTCTGTTCGCGCTAAACGGAGCTCACAAACATCGAGGTAAATAAACACAACAGTATTAACAAGTGTAATGCATGTTTTAGCCTCACTCTGTGCTACTCTATTTATTGTGTTGTGTTTCGATATCACCTTTAAGAGGTGAGTCACAGAGACACAGCCATGTGCGCTCTGGGTTATGGAAGACTTAACAACTGCATTTGGACAATAAAGATTGCAGCTGCACAGCTATTACAAGGGCTGCTTCTGGAGGAGTAGGAGAAGAAGAAGTAGTTCAGAGGGAATTTCAGACCAGCTACTGTATCTAAGTCAGCCAGATCCTATGGGAACTTTTTGTCCCAGGTGTAAAAGCGCCTCCGGGATCTTAAAGGCTCCTGAATAGGACCTGTGTCAGTACAAATAAAACATTCCGACTACACACAACAGCACCAATTCCCAGTTCTAATAGATTCATATAAACTGTATTGGGATACCCAGTCTTTATTAAATGGAGGTAATGCACAGTGTTGCCTCATGGTATTTTTCTCAATCTTTATAGGGACACTAAGTCTACCTTAGAAAAATGTACGTTGTACCTCATATGGACTATATTTTGCAACTATAGGGCACTGGCATAGATAGATGAACAATACAAGATACTTACATTTTCTGATCAATAAAGTTAAATTGGATACTTGATCTCTCACGCGGATATCACTGCGCTAAGGAGCCATCCAGGCAAAGCCCAAGCGTGATGCCACAAAACCAATAAGAGAAAATTGGGCAATACACACAATATATATATATATATATATATATATATATATATATATATATAGTTTTAACTTTCAACAACATATTTTTATCAATTTGTGGAATGTTGATCATGAAACTATTCGTTAAAATGTGAAATCAATTGGTTTTCGACTGTATGTGTTCATTAGAGGGACAGGAAAAAAAATCTCCCCGCGCGCAAATAACGGTTTCGAAACACAAATGTGCGCATTTCACATTCCCAACCCACGCTTCACATAAACGACTGTCCACATTATCGGAGCATTCAGAGCAGCAATGCTCTGACAATGTGGACATTAGTTATCGGTGCTCCCGGGAAGAGGAGCAGAAAGTCCTCCCGCTTGGAGTGAGGCTGAGGCGCACGGTGCAGCTTGAAGCGGCGCCGATCGCTTCCTCCCGTGCAACAGCAAGTCAAATAAACACTCCACCAAGTAGCCAACGCCACATAATTAAATTTCATCGTGGAAAAGAAGCCGTGACACCGATCCTAGTCCCTGAAGAAATAACACAGTTTTTTTTGTGTGTGTGCGTGTTTTCTCGAAGAGCCCTCCAGAGAACAGATGTGATGTAGTCAATGTGGACGTTCGAGACTTCAACAATCAATAGACAACGGACACAAGTATCAATTTGAAAGCTGATAAGACGATATGGGATCTACAATAGAGCGGAGATAAGAAGAAAGCTACAGTGAGATTTATGAAAACAATTGGTGTTCTATTTGGGACCACAAATTAAGCGAAAATGGTTTCAGTTAAAGTATATGTTTTTTTTTTCTGTTGACATTATCTGTGTGGGACACTTAAACACGATCCAATCGCAGGTAGAGCCCAAAACTAAAACAAAACGCTATCATCAGTTTAACACTTCCCCTGTTTCGCGTCTCGCTGGTTATTAATTAACAAAGAAGTACTCGTTTGCGTGATCACATCACTTTTACGACTTCCCACAGCACACAATCATCTTCAGTTAGTGGCCGGAAACTCAACAATGACCAACAAAGGCAAATTAGATAAGAAAACAATCCAAATTCTAAAGGACAGTTCAAATAAAAAAATAAGTTTGCTTTTCCTACAGACAAACAAAATGGGAATTAAAATGTCCGTCATAAAACAAAACAAACAAAGAAAAATCAAATTGGATATACTGTATGCCAGTGTCAATTTTACCTGCTTCCTCCGCTGTGACAGCCAGAACTGGTAGAAGTGTGAGCGCACACACGCAAAGCCACGTGTATAAATCCATCTTTTGATCTCAAAGCGTTGAACTAAATAAAACGGTGATAGTCCCCACGCTTTCCTCCTCTCTTCTACGCCGCAGACCGGGTCGTACCGTCCAAAAGAATCCACGCTCAAATGCCGGTTTGCGGTTGTCAGTGCGTGGCCGTGCGTCTTTTCTCTCGGGATATGATCTCTTCACAGTGTCCACAATCCATTTTTTTGTGTGGTGCGTAATAATACTGCGCTTTGGGATCTCGTCATCAACGTGAGGCAAATGCGAAGTCACAAGAGGAGTGAAAAGTATCCGTGGCCACTACCAAATGGAAACATGCGTCCAAGTTTGTAAAAAAAAAAAAAACAAAAAAAACTGTCTAAAGTAAGAAGAATCAAATCACTCCCCTTAGTCAAAACATCGCCGCCTCCGTTCCTTTATTTCAAAAGCGCCGCACATAAATATGCCCATGTGGTGATTATATTCCCAAAACGGTGGCGACACAGTCCATGTGGCAGTAGGTTGTAGGGTTAAAAAGGGGAGATAAAGATGTTTGGAAAGAGGCGCGCTCTCTAGTCTGTCTTGTCAACGCGTGCGTAAAAGCGGATAGAGAGAAACCGAACGTGGTGGAGGCTCTTCGCCGTCCTCCTCCGAACTGACAGTTAACACGCTCTTCCCCTGCGCTGCTCTCTCTCTCTCTTTCTTTCTCTCTCTCTCGTTGGGGAAGCGCGCTCGTAACTCTCCGAGCTCCGCCGTCTTAGTGACTTCCAGCCGGAGCTTTCCCTCAACTCGAGGCTGGGGTGCGTGTGCGCACGCGCGTATCGGATTACAGTGTGGACACCTCGGCCAGCCTCCACGTATCCCCTCACCTCATAGACCCCCCCAACCCGCAACCCCGATTAAAGAGCAGTTTAATATCCCCCAGCACCACCCTCTCTGCTCAACCTCTCCATTGCCTTCCAGTTTTTCTTCATGGTTGCTTTCACTGGAGACGACAGGTAAACTTATAGTGGCGAAAAGTAACGTAGTCCAAATACTTAGCTGCAATACTTGAGTATATTGATCAATTATCTGTAGTTTACTCATTACATTTGAAAACAGATACCAAACTTTCACTTATGTATGTACTGACATCACGCGCATTATCGTGGTACCCATGATTGCTGCTGTTAAAAAAAAAAAAAAACTGTACAACTCTTTGTAATTTTTAGTATTGATATTAACACCTTAAACACTTACTTGACTAAATTCCCAACACAATTGAATGAATTTAAATTCCAATATTCTGTTCGCGAAAAAAAAAAAACAATTCACACTTGCACACAGAACAGGAGTTGTGTTGTTGGGGGCGTGGCCTATACATATATATATATATACATACACACATACATATATATATATATACACACACATATATACATATACAGTATACACATACATATACATACATACATATATATATACATATATATACATATATATGTATATATACATATATATACATATATACACATATACACATATATATATATACACACATACACACATACACACACACACACACACACACACACACACACACACACACACACACACACACACACACACACACACGCACACACACACACGTATACAACATGTATACAATATAAGGGTCACAAAATCATATTGTCTGAGAAGAAACTCAGCAATATTTTTGGAAAGTGAAATCATTCAGCAATGAAAGTGACCTCTTTTGTCCCAAATGGCCATCCAACATCTTTCCCACTGCGAGACCAAATCAGTAGAGAAATGTAAAGCCGCATGATTGTGAAGATGCCGTGGCCAGCTTGTATTCTGATCTTGTGGGAATTTGGTCAAATGTAGTCCCAAAAAAAAAAAAAAAGGCATTGCAGTAATTACTAGAAAATTGACCTACTTCCCCAAGTTTAATGCATTTGGTCATGAATTCCCCTGAAGTGGACCGCTTCAACTTTGAATGGAGGACCCCCGATCCTCAACACTCCCAAACTCTATTAGGGTGAATGTTCCAAGAGTTAAATATAGTAGACGCCGGAGATCAGTAGAAATGAAAAGCTTAAAGTAATTCTTGCCTTCCCAGGGCACAACTCCTAAACCCAATTTCTTCCACGTCAGTGCTGCTGGATATTAACATCATGAGACATTTATTTATAGCACATGTAAATTCACTGAGGATTCCTGGGAACCAAGTATCTTTAACTGTGATAAAGGATGACTTCATTAGAAAATTCAACAGTCACGGCTTGCCCGATGCCCCTTGAGCGTATGCATAGCCAACGTGTTGGGCGAAGGCAGTGCTCTCACGGGCTGAAACTGAAAGTTTACGCTAGTCACAACCGCTGTGGGTAATCAATCGATTGACAAGCAAAAATGAAGTATTAACATCTTAATGGGCTTACTAGACAAAGGTGATTGTTTTTAGCGGGAGCAGGCATGCTGATCGTGAATCTTTAAATCCAACTGGCAAACCATTGAGTGAGGCAAACCGAGGTCTTTGATATCAAAGGTGGCAAAGGTTGTAGCAAGTTCAGGCAAGGTGTAAAGGGGATTTGGTTTGGCTTGTCATTAAATGTTTCCGTATTTTGAGAAGAGTTACAGTGATACCTTAAATTACAAAAAAAAAAAAAAAAAGGATGTTGACATCGTTTATTGAAATATTTTGAGACCCGTGCCGCTTCTACCAAAATCAGACAAACGTACCTCGACACTGTATGGGGCTTATGTTACTTATGTTTGATAGAATTATCATTAACTAATTTTTAACCAAAAAAAATGTCTTTTTTTTTTTTTTAACTTGGGGCCAATTTTAGGAGGAAATGGCTGAATTAATGCAACCAATATAACGGGACTCTTGAAAATGTAAAATCCGCGGTCTCATTCTGTGGGCTTACATGTACGATTTTTATTTGAGATCGTGACAGGTTTGAAAGTCGATCTGTTTTTTCTGGGAGTTATATTGTGCTGAGCACCGGGGAAAACCACAAAGCCTCCTTCCAACATTGGGGTATCGTCTCAGTTCAGAATGCGTATCCAGGGTTAGTACACCTGAACCATTAAAAATTAAATTTAAGACCAACTTCCAAATGTTTGCAATATCCCGTTTTCCAAAGTTGCTCCTTGACATGAATGATCTGCTCCCGAAACCACATCACCGTTTTTGTGAGTTCCGCTATCGTGATTGCGTGATGTGACCAGAACCGCTAAATTGTTTTCTTAAAAACAAAAAGTATTAATTTTGAGATGACAGACTATTTGCAGTCCTAACATCCTATATTCAAGACTTTTTGAAAGATTGATTTTAGACATTTTAAGGGCAATAAATATCTGGTTTTTAGATTCATGGATTCCGTGCCTTTGAAGACTTTTTAACAATCCGGAGGGAACCCTGGTGTCAGTGACATCATCGCTTTGGCCCATCGGTGTTGAATGGAAAGCGTACAGTGACAGGTGATACCCACACACACAAACATATGGTATGCATGCGCACATCCACTCCAACCTGAACCTGTCCATCAATCTGTCAAATGTTTCCCAACATCTCTGGAGGTCGCAAGGTATTAAGTTCTTCTTTTTCGATGACAGGTCGAGGTGTGTGCGTGTGTGTGCATGTGTGTGTGTGTGTGTGTGTGTATGTGTGTGTGTGTGTGTGTGTGTGCGTGCGCGCGCGTCCTTGGATCGCTGTGGTTGCATGACCTTTGTAACATGTCCCTCCTCTCCGTCTCTGCTCTCCTCATCAGGCGCCACTGCAACTTAAAACCGTCCTGACCCCTGCACGGACGCGACCAGGGCATTAACGTAGCGTAGCTTTTCTACCCGTGATGAGCATGTCGAGAGTTCGACAAACTTGACAATTCGAATGCTTAAACTTGAAGCATTCAGACACAATGTCTCTCTCACACACACACACACACACACACACACACACACACACACACACACACACACACACACACATTCCGACTGTCCGACATTGTCCATATATGGTTCGTTAAGCTCATATTATTGATTGTTACGGATATATTCTTTGAAGTATGAATATTAATTAGACAATTTTCTATGTATGATTTAGTGAGTTAAAACACACACACACACACACACACACACACACACACACACACACACACACACACACACACACAGCCACAAATGCAATTGTACTCATAACTTAGTTTAGTGAATTATAGCGTCTCTTTCAGCTTGATTAGAATTCTTGGATCCAATTTAGTTCTTTACATGATCATTGATTATGGTTTTATGTTTTACAGTGCAGCGTGATTTCTCTTTTTTTAAAAATGTAACAAAAAAAGTTGTTTTTTTGTGCGGCGTGATGATGGATCACTGGCATTTCCAACCATTTCAATGGAGAAAGCTGATTTGAATTCCGGCTGCTCTTTGATTAGCTTTTTGTTTTAACATTTTTAATGATGCAAATGTTGCAAGGTTGCTGACAAAATGTGTTTTGATCATAAAAATCGTACTTTTACTTTCCTTCAGGTCGTTTGCCACGGCGCAGACTTAGCTCTGATGTTCACACATCACACACACACACACACACACACACACACACACACACACACACACACACACACACCCACACACACACGCGCGTTCTTTGGGTTCAACTTGACTGATGTTAGTCCGTCCAAAGTAATCAGGCTGAAATGTTAGCGGGCCCACTGAGATTTCTCCGGATCCTCCCGATCACCACTCTGCCACCGCTTCCCTTCCTCCATCCATCTTTGAGGTTAATAATACTCGGAGAATGTTGTGATCTCAGAGGGGCCGGCAGCTCCACGTCTGTCATGTTCTCCTCACTCGTGCGCATCTGCGCCTCACTCTAAATGTTTGTATATGTCCGTGCATACGCTGCAGTTAAAAGAAGCTTGGCGAAGCGAAAAGTTGGAAGCCTTCGTGGGTGATCAGAAGCTGTGTGCGAGTGTGTATGTGCGGGAGCGCTGTTGACACCTTGACGCTCCGGGGACTTCGCAGTGGTTTTATTTTGTATGGCCTTTTTTCTCCACTTGTGCTGGAATATGTGAGCGAAAGGACTTCATTTGTGGAAGTATTGTTCCGACTTAAAGTACAACATGAACGATATGTGTTGTAGGTGGTCTGAAATTCACTTTACTCGCACTTCCACAATGATTTGTTTACCAAAGTCAAGTGTTCCATCAGATGCATCTATTTTCTATAGCGCCTGTTGTCAAAAACTCCACACCACAGGATAATCGCTCGGGATAAGTTGTCAGAGACAATCAGGCTTTTGCTGACGTTGGTTGAAAGTGAGTAAAAAAAATGCTCAAAAACTCGCCAATCGATCAATTAGTTTACAAAGGGGAATAGAGGATGACCACGAGTGGAAAGCTCCTATTTATCTGTAGCAAGGCAAGTGGTGCAGACAGAGAGTAATGCAAACACACACGCGCACACACACTCCCTGAGGCCTCATCAATAAGCTTTATTACCGAGGAGACCTTACGGGAAGCCACAGTCAAATGAGTTTGTCAACAGCGAGCATGGTCTGCGCCGACATCCTTATTTAATGCAGGAAGAGAGGCAGCCCAGCTCACACACATCAACAAAAGGTGTAGCCACACACACGCACTGCTCACAAAAGTTCAGGAACTTCGGCTTTCAGTCGCCATTTTAGGATGAACGTAAAATGCTCTGTAAACTTTACGCGTGAATTTAATTTGACCTCGGCTAAAGATTTGAATGTCCGACTGTTTAATG